TGCACATAGTAAAGCTTCGATAAATAGCTTTTTTTTTTTTGAAAAAAGTCATCACTTTAAAAAGTTTATTCAAGATAGAATGTGTGTACATGTGGGGGGGAGAGAAGTGCCCTTGATGGAGTCTTGTCATGCTGTGATATCCTCCCTGCAGCCCTTCCAGCTTGTCAGAACTTTGGGAGTGTGGTTGCACGCCCATTGTGTTTCAGGTCAGCCAGGCGAGTCCAAACCCACACTCAGCGATGTGTCTTCCAGTGTTGCTATCTAATGCACTGCCGACTGTGCAACCTAGGCTGGACCTACTTTCATTTTGATTTCCGTGAAAGCTATGTTTCGAGTTGTTGGAACTTTAGTGTTTGTCATATTAAATAGCTTTCACTGGATATTTTAGCTTTAATTCGATACTGATTTAATAATAGAATTCTAGGAATTACCCAAGAGAATTAGTAAAAGCTGAAAACTGACCAGACTATATATAGTGTTTCAGACTACAGGATGGTATGCATTACTAGAAATTGCATTATGTTTTCTAAGAGTAGGGAAAATTGTTGACTTTTAATTCTTAATTTCTTTACATTTCTTTTTAGGTTTTTGTCATAGGGCACATGTGCTCACCAGAGAGAGACAAAGGAAAAGTGAGAAATTGCCGCCTAGGGGATGGCCATGCTGTAGTCCATTTTGCTCCACTCTCCTCTTGGGCTTTGGGCACACATGTACCTAGTGTGATTTTCAAGCTGCTAGGTCTGGGGTTCAGACTGTTGTCAGCAGTATGGGAGTCTACCTACTTAACTATCATGCCACCTACTAGCTTTTGCTTTTTCTTTTTTTCTTTTATTTTTTTTTGAGAGAGTTTTTTGCTATGGGGCACATGGACTCACAGGATAGACAGAGAAGAACAAAGAGAAACAAAGCGAAATATCACCCCCCCAGGGAGGATGGCTTTGCCACAATCCCTTCTCCTCCATTTTCCTCTAGGGATCTTGGGTACACGCACTCACGCCCGGTTTGAGTTTTAAACTGCTGGGTCTGGGACTCGAACCAGAGTTGACTATGTGGGAGTCCAGCAATGTAACCATTATGTCATCTGATGGTCCCTCTTTTCTTTTTTAAAATTTGCTAGAGGGCACATGTGCTCAGTAGAGAGAGGGGGGAGAATCAGAAAGCATCATCTATGGGGGACAACCATTCTACAGTCCTTTCTTGCTCTGGGATTTTGGGCATGCTTGCATATGTGCCTAGTTTTTCTTTTTCTTTTTTTTTTTTAATTAAAAAATGTTTTTTTTTTTTAACTATTATTTTTTTGATAGGTTTTTGCTATAGGGTGTGTAAGCTCGGCAGAAAGACACAGAGAGAGAGACAGAAAGCTAGAAATCACCCTCTAGAGGGGATGACTACACCACAATCCCTTCTCCATTCTCCTCTTGGGATATTGGACACGTGCCCAGCATGAGGTTAAGCCACTGGGTCTGGGACTTGAACTGCGGTCGACTACGTGAGAGTCCAGCAACACAGCCATTATACCAGCTGCTGATTCCAACCCACTGTGTTTTTTAAGCCTCTGGATCTGGGACTTAAACCACACAGTCAGCCCTTTGGGATTCAGCCATCTTAACCACCACACCACGGGCTAACCCTGCTTTTAATTCTTAAACCAATACGCGTTCCATACACATTTTATTATCACCTTCCTAGGAGCATTTTCACTTGATCCTGAACTTTTTTTGTGGAAGGAGGGTTTCAACTTTATTTATTTTAATTTGACCAGAGAGTGACAGAGTGTGTGTGTAGGGGGGAGTGAGAAAGCAAGCCACCAGGTCCAGGACTTGAACCACAGTCAGCCATATGGGAGTTCAGTGCCCTTATCAACCTTACCAACTGCTGACCCTGATCTTGAGAACTATTAATACTTGATTTTAGATTTTAAAGGTTTGGGTATAGTATGTAATTTGCTTTTATGAGTTAATTACATAGGTAATTGCTTTAAGATGATGCTTTCTCTTTATTTTTACCTTTAAAAATCATAGTAATAGTTTCATTTGTTTATTAATTATGTAATTTATGTGATATAATAAAAGGCAGTAAGGATACATTTATTGGTAATTAACAAATATTTAAGAGCCATCCCTGTGTCAGGCAGTGTGTTAGGTGCAGAGGAAACAGCTGTGAAGGAGCTGTGCATTGACACTTGTCTGTATTGGGCTCACTAGCTAGGAGAGATGACATTTGTCAAGTGTTGAGTAAGAGTGTTTCAAAGGAGCAGTGCAGTGTGCCGAACCACAGTAAGCCATGTGAGAGTTCAGTGCCCTTAACAACCTTACCACCTGCTGACCCTGATCTTGAACTATTAATATTTGATGTTAGATTTTAAAGGTTTGGGTGTACTATGTGATTTGCTTTTATGAGTAATGTAAAATGAAAGGGGTACTCTACCAATCTGGAAGTGACAAGTTCAGGACAGAACAAGGATAGGAAGAGCACTCTTTCAGACAGAAAACAATTTATGTGAATGGTCTAAGTTGGAAAAGATCATGTTCCAGAAACTCATAGTGTTGAGTGTAGTGAGCAAGAAGAGCAAGGCCTCTACCTAAATATAGGTAGAGGCCATATCTTGGTGGGCCTTCTAGGTTTTCTGTAGATTATTTTTAGATCTTGGAATTGTACTCTCTGAGTACAAGAGAGTCAAGGTTTTATGAAAGGAATTAATAAAAACATCACCTTAGCTGTAGAGAATGGGAGACCTCTTGAGTTACGAAACTCTTGAAATTAGGTTGAAAGTTGATGGCCACTTGAACTAGGGTTGTAACAATAGGAGTAGAAAGAAGAGGATCAGTTTGAAAGATATTTATGAGAGAGAATTGACAGTACTTAGTTCTTTTATGTTTGTATGTGGGTGGGCAGAGAGGGAATAGGACCCAGCCTACTCCTGGGTTTCACATATGAGCCATTGGTGTGTAAGATGGAGATCTTGTTCCCTGAGATATGGAATTATGGAGGAAGAGCAGATCATGAGTTTGATTTGGGATATGTTAAGTTGGATGTCTTACTGTATTTTGTGTCGCTTTAACAGAATATTTGAGAATGGGAAGTTTATAAAGAAAAGAGATTAGTATGTGGCTTTAGAGGCTGTGAAGTCCACAAGCAGGGTAACAACCTCTGGTGCAGGCTTTCATTATGTGTTTTAACAGGGCAGAGGACATCACAAGGTGAGGGTGTGTATGGTGTTTCTCTTCCTCCTCTCTTAAATCTGCCAGTATTCAATCATGGGTGTCCCACTCTGATCACCTTATCCAATCCTAATTACGTCTTAATACCATAGTCAGATTAAGTTTCCACCCTCTTAATACCTCCCAGTGGGGATTAAATATTAACATGCATTTTGGTGGGGACATTGAAACTATAGCACAGAGATGTACTGTCTTTCTATTATTTATATCTGTTTGGATTCTTGTCTGACTTTTTGATAGCTTGCAAAAAGAGACTCATGCTTCACTTGGGCCTTTGTTTAATTGTATTTTATCATGTTTCCCCACTGTAAACACGTAAGGGTTATGATACCCCAGGAGTAACTTCAACTCACTGTGTTGGTAATTTTTAATTAGGTAGACTGAGAATCAGAAAATGCAAACAGCTATGTATGTAAAACTTGACAGAGCCAGCAGATGGTGTAACTGTTACATCACTGGACTCCTACATGGCTGACCATAGGTTGAGTCCTGGACCTGGTGGCTTAAAGCTCACGCTGGGTTTACATATGTGCATGCCCAAGATCCCAGGAGGAGAATGGAGGAGAAGGGATTGCAGTGTGGCCATCTCCCCTGGGGGGTGATTTCTTGCTTACTCTGTGTATGTGTGTGTGTGCCTGGCAAACACACAGGCCCTATGGCAAAAATCTCAAAAAAAGTAAAAAACTTGTCAAGGTGCGTTGCGGGTGTTCATAGAGGGAGGTGGAAATAAATGAAAATCACATAGTATTAAAAAGTATCAGTTCTTCATTGTCTGGACTACCAGTTCTAATACTCAAGAAAGACTCAAAGAGAAGTTAATGCTGTGTGTTCCTCTGTTAAGTATTGATATTTGTAATGTCTCAACTAGTGATTCTCAAAATGTAGTCCCTTGACCAATAGCATTGGCATCACCTGGCAGTTTTTAAAATGTGGATTCTTGGGCCCTACCTCAAACCTACTCTGAAACTCTGGGGATAGGGCTCAGCAATCTCTTTTAATAACCCCATAGTAGATTAGGCAGTGCCCTAAAATTGAATACTCCTGGCACTCAGCAAACTTTCAGATGAGTACCCATGGTATTCGACAAACTTCAGCACACTTTCTTTGCCAAAGGCCAGATAGTAAATATTTTGGGCTTTGTAGACCATTCTTTGTGGCAGCTGCTGCCCTATGCTTTTCAGAAACCAGCCATAGACATTATGTAAACAAATGGGAATGAGTGTGTTCCAGTAAAACTTTATTTACAAAACCAAGTAGCAGGCACACTGGGCTCAAGGTCTGTAGTTTGCCAGCTCTGGTCTAGACTTTGGACAAATATGGTGGTTGTTGCCAGGATAAATGTTGACATGTTAATGAAAATGTAGGAGTTGGAGGTCAGTCTGAATAGTTTCAAGTATTGGTGTGTTTTGTTAAACCTTTGTTGATTGTTTTCCCTTTTCCTCATCTTTTGCCACCTTACTTTTCTCCACAAGGAAATCATCTTCATTTTAGTATAAAACATACATTCTCTTTACTAAAAATTCCAAACATCGCAAAAATCTAGAACAGAAAATAAGCTATTGGTCCACTCCCTCTTGACCAAAAGCTATTACTATTTCAATTTCGATGACTTTTTCTGGTTTTTCTTCTGTATATTATTAATATTTGTTGTTTTTATCATCAGTTTTTAAACAAATGAATGTAATATGTTTTTCTTAAATATTTGATCCAGTGGTTTACTTTGTAGGTGATTTTTCAGTTTATGAAATTATAACTCAGTTTTCTCTGATTTTTTTGAAGGTTGTTTTGGAAACAGAAATAACAAATAAGTCTGCTTTGAAACTTTATGAAAACCTTGGTTTTGTTCGAGATAAGAGGCTGTTCAGATACTATTTAAATGGAGTTGATGCACTGCGACTTAAACTGTGGCTGCGCTGAGAAACTGACATCAAGGAACAACTTCCAACCACACAGAATTGACCTTTGCATGCAATGCAATTTGTACAGAATTGCTTTGCAGGTGGATTTAGTAATTTCCATGCAGCTCTTACCTGTCAGTGTCTCATTGAGTGTCGCACAATATTTGTTGCACTTTGGCATGGCGCATTTGTTCTGAATTAAAAGAGATTGTTTTAAACTTCAAGAGTTCTTTTGGTACCAACACGGTGTGCCAGTTGATAGCCAAGATTTGTTTGTTCATTTGCAAAGTCAGCTGACAATGTTCTTTACAGTGATGGTTTTATCACAGAACCAATAAGTGGAACATGATTTTTGTTCCTTAAAAAAAGCCAATGTGGATTGTAAAAGTCTCTAAGTATACTAACATTTCACAAAAAATCTGCCATAGTTTTCTGAAAGGGTTAGGGAAAACTTCAGTTTTAGGTTTTATTTTTTCAATATAAAATTTCCATTCTTGGATATTGGTACCTCAGTGATTAGTGAATGGAAAAAAATGTCAGGTGGGATATGTCTTACAATGAGTACAGATTATTAAATTGCGTCTGCCAGTGCCTGTGTAGATAAGTATATTTGTCTTCATCTCTAGTTTTTTGAATGCATGCCTATCTTTTCCTTTTCTTTAAGGCCTTTGCAAGCTTTTATTTAAATTCTAAATTTGATAATAAATTATTTCAGATTTTTATAATTTGGATACTTTTTCTAGGTGAGTGACAGAATGGTTTACTTTAGAAATTCCTTCTTTCCTTTCAGTAAGAAGTTGAATCTACTTGGAAAATTCTTTGAGAAATGGCTCAAAAGGGATGAGAAAGGTTGACAGAGCCAGGAATTGCTGGGTTTTGGATGCACTTTTTTTTGAGTGAGAGAATTTTTGGAAAAGAATAGAAAATTAATGTAAATTGGTATGATTTTATTTAATCAAAATTATTGCTAAGCTGTGAAGAACAGCTTTTACAAAGTAGCTGGAATTTTTTTTGCCCACTTGATTTGGATTCACATTGCTTCCATTTCTTAAAATACTTCACTTTTGGTTCTTGGTCTTAGAAATAAATTTCAAGGTGCATTGTATCCATTTTAGGCTGCTTTTATTTTCTTTTCACCTCTATGAGCAAATGTTTGGGAGCTTTCCTTTGTTCCTCCAGAAAAAAAAAAATGAAAATCTTTTTGGGAGCGAGTTCTATGGGTTTTCTTAAGAGCCTTCATGTTTATTGGTTACATTGTGTTTTGACCAATCAGTGCAGTGTAACAAATTTTAAAGTTAATTATTTTCAATTGAGTCAGTAAACCTGTGATGGATAATTTATTTAACTGGAAAACATAGGTACCCATTAAAAAAAAAAAAAGATTTGTTCTCTGTGAAAAATGTTTGTAGGAATCTGTGGGTTTTTTTTGTTTGTTTGATTTTTTTTTTTCATTTGAATATGCTTTACTTCTGCTCTAGGATTTTGATTTGAATTTTATGTTATAGCTATAATTACTGTATTTTAAAAAACCCTACCTCCATTAACAGTTGGTAAAGGCCCCTTTTCAGGAAAGTTTGTTACTGTTTTTTTTTTTTTTTTTTTCTTTCTTTCTTTAAAGGAAAGCTGCTCCTTGCTCAGTATAGTGTTTTTTGAAAGTGAACATGGTAACAAGTACTTTAAAAATAAAGATACACAATTTATATTTGATGAAAATAAAAACTTCCTGCTGGTGGGATCATTTATATAGTTCCTTATTTTTAAAGAAACATTTTTCTGTTTCCTATTGTTCTTGAAATTTTAATGGGCAGAATACTGGTTATATTAACAATATAATGACTACACTGTACTCAGCTTTTCAGCTGACCATTTCGAGTGTTTTTTTGGTCAGACTTTGTTGGATGCTAGCATAGAAGAATACCAATCACAGTGATACTTCTGTTAACTATTTTTAATATGAAGGAAACTGCACTAAAGCAGTATACTTATATCATCAAATTTTATATCACCCCTTTATTTTTGACTTGCTGGCTCAGAGGTTAATTGTTGATGAACAACACATTTGCTTGACTCACTAATGGGGACAGGTGTAAAGTAGATACATACTAGATTATCTGTTCAAGCATTCTTATGTGTTTGCCAGGTGTCAATGAAACCAGTCACTATTGACCTTTCCCCCAGTTGCTGAATTGACTGAACTGATTTGTCACATGACCTTACTATGTGACTAAAAAGTCAGATGGTTGCCATATGGTTTGGCTGATCTATATTGAATATCAATATATACCTATGTCTTTAACTGGGTATTCAAAACTTGTTTACTTAAGTAGACTAAAATTTTAACCCTTAGGTGATAATTTAGCTCCAGAATTTAAAATCTCTATTCACTTGAAGTAGCATCAGATATAAATTTATATTTTAACATTGGGCTTTTATCTTTCTTACATAAGCTTAAAAAGATTTCATTTATAATTGGTAGAGTGGATTCACTTGGCTAAAACTGAGCAAAATTGTTGCAACTTTCTTTTAATGGGGTGCTGCCTCTATAAGACTGACTGTACTATCCACTGACACTGGTTTGGCAGTTGGTTCTGCTGAACATTTTTATACATGCTACCATGAAGCTATATGTGTTAGTATTGAAGAAGCTAACGGGTATACTAGCATTTTTGATGTGTGGGCTGATTATAATTTCCCTTACATTGGGAAGAAACTACTTTAGAGACGTCTACAGATCAGAAACCAGATACTAGTTTTTGAAGTCAAAGCCAGCAAAATAAAAGAGAAAGAAAAATTACTATTAAAAAATTGGTTTTAATATTTTCTGCCTCTTCCCCAAATTACCCTCCCTACTTGCTCGACAAATCTATGTAAAGGAATTTGTTTGTTACATGTTTTAACTTTACCTTGCCCTGTGTTATGGTATTGGCTGACGTGTATAAGAGTGGATGTGTGTATTTATTATGGTGTCTAAAAATCATGAAGTTCATCACTTTCCAGGAGCATAGATAAAATCAAATTGGTAGTGCATCAGTTACTTTTCAGTGCACCATGTCATCACTAAAATGAGTGCTATAATGTTACAGGGCTTTCAGGTTTGTAAAAACATAACCATAAATTATATTGACGTCAGATATGAGTTGAGTATCTATAAAATATCACGTGTATCTCAAAATATTGGACTGCTGTTTGATGACTGGATATTATTGCATAATTTTCTTCTATTGTCCCGTATCCTTTTGGAGAAGAGAGATTTAATGGGATTTGAAATGTGCAAGCTGTCTAAATAAGATGCAGTCAAATAAAGTATGGTTAAGTTGTGTTTGCATTTTTCTTTTAGATACAGCTGTGTGCATTTTATGATTGGGTTGTTTGCTTTTACCTACTGTGAAAAAACAAGCAATCTATTCTGTTTTCCACTTTCTGTCTCCCATCCAAGAGATATTTGGAAGATTTGATACACAATTATCACTCTACTTTGTGATCTTACAGAGTAAATTTGAAAATAACATGAACTTGATTTTCCTAAAAGTACTCAAAGTTTGTCAACTCAACGTATCAGTGATCAGTATACATAAGGGCATTTTTGCATGCATTAAACCAAAAGTTAGTTTTCAGTCCTTGTCACATGATGGTTTACTCCAAAGATAGTTTTAATTTTAATTTACTGGGTTTTGTTTGTGCAGTGTCTCCTCACATAAATGTTTTCCCCTTCGCTAAGACACCAAAGTAAAGTGGAACAGTATCAGAGGGGCTTTTTCCCTTAAGGAGCTTTAAGTGATACTTACATATGCTCTCATATTTCAGTATTTTTGGATATTAGTGTAAGGATTAGATGAATCTTTTGAGCATGACTTTTAAATTTTGCCATGCATGCCAGATCTTCACTTTGTAATGTGAAAATATCTAAATGAGCTTATGTTTTATGTGGACCTTATTATGGAACTCTACTTCAAAAATTCAAAGGACCTCAGAAAGTTGATACAGTTCTTTCACACCTAAGAACACAAATCATTATTAACTTGTAGTCCAGACACTTTTTTTTATAAAGATATTTTTAAAATAGGTGTTTAAAAATTCTCATGAGCATATAGCATGGCTGCATTTTTTTTTTTTTGAGAGGTTTTCTCTCTAGGGCGTGTGCGCTCGCCAGACAGAGACAGAGAGATAGAAAGCGAGAAATCACCCCCCGGGGGGATGGTCACGCCCCAATCTCTTCTCCTCCATTCTCCTCTTGGGATATTGGGCATGCACGCACACGTGCCCGGTGTGAGTTTTAAGCTACTGGGTCCGGGACGTGAACCGCGGTTGACTACGTGGGAGTCCAGCGTCATAGCCATTACCCTAACTGCTGGTTCCCGCATGGCTGCATTTTTTTCAGATCCATGCTATTCCATATTTATTTTGTTGATGGAAATATTCTTTGTTCTCTCTAGTGCAATAGCCACTGAGCCTATAAAGTATGGCTAGAATGATTTAGAGGAACTGAGTTAATTAATTGAAATTAGCCATATGTGTCTGGTGCTCCTGTATTGGATAGCTTAGCTTTAGAAGATATTTAAGTAGTGTTGACTTGAGAAAGGCATTTTTTTGTGTGTGTAGGGTTTTTAAGAAGACACTAATTTAGTGAAATATGAGTCAAGAATTACCTCTGAGCAAGAGTAGCTGAACAGTTTATATTGACAGTGTATAGCATTAATAGTGTCTGACTCTACCCTGACACCCCTGCCCCTATTATGATGTATCCTTCCTGAGAAAGGCAGCCCTTTCAGAAGGTTTTTATTGTTGGAAGTTCTTTGGGTTGCAGAGATGCAAAGATTCAAGTGCCAAAAATTTCTCTCTGACTGTTAGTACTTTTTAGCCTGCAACCATTTTGTATAGTTAGGTCTAATAGTTTTTCTCATTTTAGGTGAATTTGCAGTCATTTCATTTCTAAATGAGATTGGCCATCTTATTTTTACCAGTGGTCAAGCAGGAACATGGAGATCTGCCAAATGATTTTGTTTTTGAGAGACTCAGAATAAACTTGTGTCCCATGGCCACAGTTTTTTCCCCTTGATCCTAGCCAATCATTTGGTAAGTGTGATTTAAAAGGGCCCAAGAGCACACCTGGCTTGGTGTTGGGGCATGAGCTCAAAGCACATGTTCTGTTGATAGCAAGCCAGTGTTTAATCTTCATATGAAAAAGGCCTCGGAATAACAAAGACCACTGAAATGTCAAAATTTATCTTTTTCTATTAGGATAAAACTACAATACAGTGTTATAGTGAATAGGTTTCAGTCAATGTAAGGTTTATAGAATGCTAAGGAATAAGCATATTTTTAGGTATAAGTTCATGACTACCTCTTTGCTGTATGAATATGTATCAAATTGCTAATACCTCAATTTTCTGAGAATCTGTACATTTTCATAAATAATTTACCATATCCTAGGGGATGGACTTGGCTTTTAAAGAAATTGTATAACGACATTTATTACTGAGTTTGTTACGTAATCAACCTGAGATTTCTTAAACATGTTTATAGACTTCTGGTCCCATTGACGGAGAGTTTTTAGTAAACATTTAGTGGGATTTGTATTCCAGGAGATTATGTACCCTCATTTGTTCCTTTACAACTGCAAGGATTCGTTATGTCTCCCATGTTCTTTCATGCCAAAGAAAACCCACTTTAAAAGCCAGCAGGTTGCACAAACCAAAAAACAAACAAATAAACAAAAAAAAAAGTCCCTTAAATGAACATTCTTAAGTTTTATTTTCTGCATGTTTAAGTATTTTACAGTTTAAGCCAGAAGTAATCATTTGTAAGAATGCCTGTTTTTTAGGAATGTAATAGTGAAATTGATCTTTTTAAGGGACTGTGCTACCTTGAAATCCACAGTTACATGAAACTTTTTAAAAGCTGATATAAGATATAAAATAATGGCTAAAACTTGCATATGCTTGTGACCCATTCAGGAAATTTAGCGTCCTAACTTGTAGAGAATTGATTCGTATCTTTATAGCCAGATTTCCCATGTTTGTGCATATCATTGATCATTTTATGAAAACTGAACCTGTTGCCTTAAAGCTAAACCTGCTGCCTTTAAGTTTTGATACCTCCTTCCCTCCAAACTGTGGCTGTAAACAGTGACTGCATAGTCAGCCAGCATTATACTTGATTTTATTGTGAATCTGAATAAATGTTTTAAGTCCAACAAGTATTGACTTAACTAGGTAAATGTAAACTGATTTCAGATTTGTCTTTGGCCACGTCTACTTGGCTTATGATAATATGGAAAAGAAGTACATCAGTACGGATGTGAGCATTGTGTTTGAGTTATTGTGGCATAATTACTCATGTTAGGAACTGATAATGAGCATTCAAAATGTTTATTTTCATCCTGAAAGTATTGGACAAGTTCTTTTACCTCTCTAAACTTTTAGTGATAATACCTGATAAACTTGTTGGGAAAAATAAATGAAATAATTATGTAAATCACCTTAACAGGGCCTAGTAGCTTAGTACATAGTAAATGATACATGCTAACTATATATGTAATACAGTCATTTCTATAATTTTATATTTTGCTATTGAGTTTGGCATAAGTCATATATTACTGAATCTTATGAGACTCTTATGTGAAGAGAAGAAAACTTTTTTTTTTTTAATAGAGACTGTTAGGAAAGGTTGACAGAAGGGTATAGTGAACTCACCAGCCACAACACTGTGTCCAATCAAGCTCCATCTATCCTTCTTCCCCATATTGTTTCAAAACGAATCCTAAAGATGTCTTGTTCGCAATGATTTCACTACTTATCTCAGATGATAAAGTCTCATCTAAAAGAACAAAACTACGGGACCTTTTCTCACACACAGACACTAATCTTTAATCATATATAACCAGTTAACGCTTCAGTTTCTAGAAAGTAAATTTAATGACAGCATTGGGATGCTTAGCTGAGAGTATCATGACTGCAGAGTGTATACACTTTCAAAGATGAAAGGTTTTTGTTACATAGTCAATACCTACGTGAACTGTATGAAAGGCTTTCAAAAAGCTCATGGAAATGTGTATTATGAGAAAATGCATGAATTTCAATTTTTGTGCACCAAAGTAAATTTTTTCCTCAAACTTTTTGAAATCCCTTCATGTGTAAGTTTGTAGGTACAATGGTGAAAGGAAGTAGGTGGAGAAGGGAGGTAAAGTCAGGAACTGGGATTGTTTCTTGCACTTCTCAAGTATCTAGTATTTTCCTAAAAGCATGATAAGACAGATCTTTATTGGTGGAAAAATGGAGTTGATAAATCTGGTGAAACTGCCAACTTATCTAAGGAATAGTTTCTAAGAGACAGGGTTGGACAGTCACGGCATAGCAGAAAATTTGAGCAGGGGAGAAAAAAATGGTGTTAATGTATGCACAGAATTTTAAGAGATGATTAAGCAAGTGAAGACAATTTAGGGATGACAAAGAAAATGACCTTATCGTCAAACACTCTAATTATGGTCAGAAGACTAATTCAGGATGAACTTATTATAACCATTATCTGTATTTAAAAAGAAACAAAACCACATTGCTGACTAGAGTTGCCAGAAATACATAAAATTAAATGATTTTATGAATTTGTTGTACTGCAGCAACACTCTAATGTATATTGTATGAGCTACAGAATGTGGTTTCCTTAAACTAGTGAGCCTGATTTTCCATTTGTTAATACGAGTACTTAACTACAGGTGCAGAACCTTTGGATGGCTTCGCACAACCCAGTACTGAGGAGGGGATCACTGTGGTCTAGCCCGATGATATAGCTTCCATGCAGCTGTTACCAGACCTGCAATGTGAGGTGGAGTGATCTGTGATTAATCTTTTCTCTCCATTGCCAGGAAGGCAATTGAGTAATAAATAGCATGCAGCAAGATTGCCTTCTTAAAGCTTTCAAAGCACTTTCACCTACTTTTACTCAGTCTTCACAAAGATTTTTTTTTCTTTTTTCTTTTTTATTACTACAGGTATGTGGGCTTGTCAGAGAAAGAGAAAACACATGATAAAGTACCCTTCCACTAGGGTGTGGTCAGGAGACCGTTCTTCCTGTCAGGGTTTTGAGCCCACACCCACATGTTTCTCAAGCTTCAGGGGCTAGGAGTTGAACCTTGGTCAACTATGTGGGATCCAGCTCCCTTAACTGCTGAGCTATAGAGCAAACCCTACAAAGATCTTTTTTTTTTTTTGAGAGGTTTTCGCTATAGGGCGTGTGCGCTCGCCAGACAGACAGAGACATAGAGACAGAAAGCGAGAAATCACCCCCCCAGGGGGGATGGTCACGCCGCAATCCCTTCTCCTCCATTCT